CACATCTCTCCAGCAGCCTACACCCAGATAAGCAGGGATTAACACAAGACAAACAATCAAGCAGAAAACAATACCCTAATCAAGGAATTACCACACCCCCCTCAATACTGACAAGGCAAGCTATTATATACAAACAGGGAGCAAACCCCACACTCACTGACGATGTTACCTAGTTGGGTAATGAAACGTCTGCAAGAAAACAATTTAGCCCAGAGAGCACCAAGGACTCCAAAGTGTACACTGTTGGAAGGCCTAAAGGACCAGGTTGTTAGGGACAGTTCATCATGAAGATCTATTTTAGCAGTTGCTAAGAGTCAACACCAACTTGATGGCACATAATCAACCAATCAAAGTATTCAATGACAGTGATAATTATCCCTTCATTCTTTTTTGATTAGGTCTATTGAAACTGAAGCAAAATGCTTTTTCAATTTATTAGGACTGCTTGGCTTAGTATGAAGTTATCTGCTACAAATTGGCAGTTAAGTCCTTTCTTGTGGCCCAAACTGGGTCTAAAATACAGCCTTGGTATCAAAATTATACCACAGTCTTCAAAGCAAATTAAATTCCAAAAATTACCCTGAAGGGTATGGGGGTCTCTTATCCAAACCAGTATTCACTGTGGTTAATGCAGTAGTACGAGAAGGCTTGGCAGTATCTGCTATTTCGAATGCTTGTTTCCGGAGTAATGTTCTCAATTGGATCAAACAACTACAATAAGTCTCTTCCCCCCATTTAGGACAGGAACATAGAGTTGAATTCTTCCCTTGTTGTCAAGCCCTAATAAGCAACATGCCTCTTTCTGAATCATTCAAACAGAACGGATGCCTATATGCAGGATGAACTTTACTGCCACATGTTACACATTTACAGAAATTCAAGGCCATAAACACCATTGGGAGGGGTAAAAATGCCCACTGGCTAAAGCAAGAAACTTCAATGAGGATAAATAAAAATGTAAAATGAAAGAATAAACCTTAGCTGACAGAGGGGAACAAATACAATTTAAAACAAGAAAAAGCTAATTTGGTAGTCAAGGGAAATGTCTTAGAACAGTGTACAGGGAATATTCTGGGGATGATTCCTGTTAAAACATTCAGCTTAAAAGGTTTCACCAAAGGTATGCACAGGCACACATTTTTTTCAGTGTGAATCTCTGAAACCATGATGAAAGACCAGAAAGTTTTTTGGTAAATAACTGTTCCTAGATTTCAGCTTTGCTGTGTTGATACTGTTCACTTTTTTCAATGTACCAAAGTCTGTTTTCTTGAACATGAGTTGTATGAGAATTGGTATAAATTAATGGTTAATTATGATTTTATTTCAATCTGTACATATCACCTCTTTAAGTATAAATCTCTAACAAACAGTATATGCAGGTAATCATGTGTACATTTTTGTCTCTGTGACAGAAATGATGACGTTCCAGGTATCCTGCAGAACAACAAAATACTAAATGTCCTACTAATCCAATTATGCTATAGTTTGAGTTCTTGTAATAAATATTCTACAATTAAAGAATAGGCATTGTGTATAAAAATCCGCTAGATTCCTCTGTAAACAGTGGCTAATTTCTAGCTTCAGAAAGAAACATAGCATGCGTGGATCAAATAGTTACTGCCATGGGTTTCAAAGGGGCAGGAATTCCTCAGTAACATTTGAAGAACAGCCCAGAACTTCACCAAACCAGTTAAAAGAGTTCTAACCAAATTTCAGATATGATGTACCTGTTCAAAATCTGAAGTACAAAATGTTAACTATATCAATTTTAGCACATTTTTACTCACTTTACTTTTGACAAATCTTATCAGGTTAGTTTTAGGGCTATGCACACTTTGAATATAATTCAGAAAAAAAGGGGGCTGGACCTCATGTGAGACCAACCCCTTTCTGCTATTAAACAACGCTGCAGCTCCTTTAAAAATTGCATCAGCCTTCATGAATGAGTTTCTTAAAGGAGCCACAATATTTTTCAAGCTCACTCAAACTGTGAAAAACAGCTTGAATTAATAGCAAAAATGTATGAGTTAGCTCTGAATTATTCTGAAAGCATATACAGCCATAATTAGTTTTAAAAGCTTTGTTTTTGTAATAAAAGTTTGAAATGTATAATTGCAGACATGGGAGGTGGGGCAACTCACTACAAGATAATTAAACATAAAGAAAGAACAATTTTGCTTTGAGAGAACTCACACAATGCCAAATACCCAGCAAGTATTGGGAGATAAAATGTCTAAAGTAGTTTCCCTCAAAGTTTTTCACCATATGAAATTACACACAAGGAAATTCAGCCCAAGCTTTCTGCTATTACCTGGAAATGCAGATTTCTCTGACTTGTTGAGGTGTTAAAGCAAAAATAAAGAACTTCTCCTGGAATCTCTGAATACTGCTCTGTACTAAAGAGATATAGAGAAAAGATCTTTGAGCTAAATACAGGAAAGGCAGGATCTCTTCTGACTGATACAAAAACACATGGAACCTTACAAGGAACTATCAGTGCACAATAAAGCTTCAACATATAAATATCAAATCTGCATTGAGAAAGCTCTAAAAGCTCATATGGTTCTATCCTTTCTCAAAACCATTGTATTTTGCATTCTTCAGTAACCTGATAAGTTCACAACTTTATAGTAATCATAACATAGGACAGATTTGCACTTGAGGAATTGATAACTTGCAAGCAGTATTAACTAAGAAAAGTGTTCCCTGCTTACAGATGGCTAAGAAACTATACTGATAAGGAATACTTAAACAAGTCCACATACAGAATTCCATGTATCTACTAAAGACTTTTAATGACATATCTAATAAACACTTGTTTTCCAACAATATAATCAGCACATTCAGAGCTATACTAATTCCAAAATTAATTTCTAGAGTGCATATGCGTTTCCTCAATTTCTCTGATCATTTATATTCCTTCAACTCTGGATTGAAGGCTTTGCTGTTTCCACCATTTCCTCCCCAGGATCAGATGATGAAAAGTGAAGCAAGGCAGCTGACAGCAGGACAAGGAAGAAGTGGAGTGAGCAAGTTAAGTGAAAGAAGAGATGTGGGAAAGATGAAGCAAAGCTTAGGAAGAAGAAAGTTATAACATGCTGGGAAGAAAATCAGAGCTGGGAGCCAAAACATAGGAAAGAAAAAGGCTGTATGAATGTTACTAATGCATCTGTGATATCCAGAGGAGAAACGGAGAAAGACCTGCAAACTAGATTTCAGAAGAGCACATTCTAATCAACTCCGAGGGATGACAGCGCAGATCCACTGGCTTCAAATCCTTAAGGAGAAAAGTGTCTGGGAAGAGGGAAATTCTATGGTAATGAAGATGCAAATAATCCTGTCAAGAAGGAAAAATGGTAGAAATCTATGTTTAGATTTCTAGTAGGGATACACATGCAGAGCTTTCAAAAATGCTGAAGAGAAAAAGGATCGTTATAGGAGGTAGACAGATGAGAATGTAACAAAAGAATACATGGTAGTCTGCAAAAACTGTAGGAACTGTAGAATGAGCTTAGGCTTGTGAAAAACGCCAACAACAACAACAACAACAACAATAAATAAATAAATAAATAAATAAATAAATATTTAAAAATTTAAAAATTTAAAAAGCCAAGAGGGTGGGTCTGTTGCAAGGAGAAAGTGGACATGACGACAAAAAAGAACTTCTTAATTCCTGTTTTGCATCTGTCTTCTCTCAGAAGTGAAACTGGAGCCTAGCTGATCATGGATATGCCACTGGGGAATGAGGGAATTACAGCTTAAAGCAGACAAAGAGAGAGGAAGAGAGGATTATCAAATGAAATTAAAATCTCCAGGTCCTGATGGATTACATCCCAGAATATTGAAGGAATTGCCAGAGATGATGGCACCACCAGTCTTGGTATCAACTGGCTCTGAAAATGGATAGCACTGGAGATCAGGCCCATACCTGGGCTAGGCCACAAGGAGGCTGCTGCAGTGGGCACTGAAACCTAGGGCATGGGGCTGGGGAGAGCTGCTGTGGCTGCAGATCTTGGTACTATAGGACGTATTCAAATAAGAACTTTGAAGGCTGAAGCATTTCATGTGAACAGCTGTTCTGAAAGGATGGACAATGGCCTCTGTTGCCCTCAGCTGATCAAAGGAATATCAGGTTCAGGTCCATGATTTGGAATAGCAGACATGAGTGCCACGAGGTGTACTCAAGAGAAGCTGGTGGGAGCTCCTTGGGAGACTTCTCTTTTCTTTGTGAAGGGCAGGGTGCCTTGAAATAGGTTTGCCCTGAAAAAGGAGCTCACGCCTTGGCAAGTGTTGTGGTTCTGGTGGCATCCAGTAAGCTCTCACCAGTCCTTCAAAATCCAGTGTGTGTGTATGTGTGTGTCTGCGTGCGCGCATGTATAAATATCTCACGCTGGGCCATTCCCTTATCTACAGCAGGTCTCCAAAGTAAACAGTATCTGGCATGTTACAAAAAAGTACTGTAGGTAAGGAAGGTGGTAGGCCAGATCCATAACTTTGGGCTAGGTAATGGCTCTGAGGGCTGGCTTTTATGAAGCCTGGGGCAAAGCAAAGAGGATAATTTTACACTCCTGAGAAACTTACTCTCCTGATTTTCAGGAAAGGATCTAGGATATGAATTTGTTATTGATTTTTTAAAAGTCTCCTTGTTCTAAAAATGAGATGCAATATGTTTCTGTATGGTCCAGATTTAATAAGCTTTAACAATAAGTTTGAATTAAATTTACCTTATTATTTGTAATTATTATATGGATCTCTTTTTCTGTTAGTTTTCTTTCTTCGTCTCTTTTAGTTTATTTTAATTACTAATCACGTTTATTTCTTCAGTGTATAATCACTACCTCTTTTTTGCTGGTGGTGCTGTAGCTGTTTGCATTTCACTATTAATAAACAACATTTAATTTTTTTAAAAAATCACTCTTGTAATCTCTGAGAACTCTTAGAGGACTGATGAGGCTGCAGAAGAGTAGAAAAAAGCAAATGTTGTCTGCATCTTCAAAAAGGAGAAGGAGAGGTCCCAGGAAACTACAGAAATGGCAGCCTGACGTCTATCCTGGGGAAGATTCAGGATGTTTGTGAGCACTTGGATAGGCAGACTACAATTAAAATCCAGCATGGGAATTATCACAACAAATTTTGCCAGACTAGCTTCATCTTCTTTGACAGAATTACTAGTTTAATAAACTACAGAATGAAAAAGGTCTGTTATGCTTATAATGGTTAATGCACACAGACAAATAAATATGTCCAGGTATTTCAAGCTACAAGGGAGCATTTTGAGAAGGATGCCACATTATATACCTTTGTTGGTTTACTAGTACTTTATGATGTATAAGGTCTTCATCTTAGGAAAAAAAAGAAGCTTGGTAGATCAGGGGACAGCCATAAACATATGGCCTCAACAAAGCCTTTGACAGAATGCCTAATGACATTCTTAATTAAAATATGGGTTAGATGATACTAGCGTTGAATGGACTTAACCGTTGGCTAAATGACCATACCCAAAAAGTCCATTGTTAATGGCTCCACTTCAACTGGGAGAGAAGTATTAAATAAAGGGCAATTATCTAAATGAAGGAATTGAGGGGATGCTTAGAGGATGACAAGGATGTCCTTGTCAACTACAAGTTAAACATAAACTAGCATTATGCTGTAGTTGCTAAAAAGGCAATGCTATCTTGAGGTGTATTAACAAGAGCACAAAGTCCAGATTACGGGAAATAATTGTTCCACTCCATCTACCCAAAGTACTGTGTCTGGTTCTGGGCAACACAGTTCAAAAAGAATTATGACAAATTCAAGCAAGATGCTGAAGGGTATGGAAACCAAGCCCTATGAGGAAAAGTTAAAAGTTAAAAAGTTAAAAGTTAAAAGATCTGGGTACACTTAGCAGAAGAGATGCCTGAGAAGAGATCTGATAGCAGTCTTTAAGTATCTGAAGGGCTGCCACATAGAAGGGGGAGTGGACTTATTATCCAGTGTCCTTGGGTCCAGCGCCAGAATCACTGGGTTAAAACTACAGAGAGGAAGGTTCAAACTACACATCAGGAAGAACTTCATGACATGCTAAGTTCTCCTTTGATAGAGGTCTTCAAACAAAGGCTGAAGGATCGAATCTCGCACAGATCTTGCACAGAGAAGACAGTTGAACTAGATGATCTCCAAAGTCCCTTTCAATTCTATGGCTGAATGGTAAGAGCCTATGGTAGACCGGGGAGCTTGTGGTTTTCCTGAGCAAACCTTAGACTCACAGACTGCTGAAAATCACAGGCCGTTTTCCACAGCTGTACAAAGGAAGAACTGCCTTTCTGATCCCAGTCTAACAACTCTCCTCAGTTACAAGCTCAGATAACATGCAGACTAAGGGAACATTGTACAGCTTCATTTGCTACTTTATTTACAGCACTGAGAGAAGTTACACACGGGAACAATTCAAACATACTATGATATTTAAGTATATTTTTTACATTATGTGCATATTGGCTGTAACTACAGCTCCCCCTTTAAAGGCTATTCCACTTAAAGACGGGAGTGCTGATCAGATGGAACATTAGCAATCAAACAATACTAAGCTATTCTTCGTTTGGACTGGAAACAATAGTCCAAACCAGTTTGGCATGGCATCTCATTTCAGTCACTTCATTTTTTGTCCTGACTAAATTTTCATATCCAATGTACTGTATTTTAGCATACTTTACCTAAGCTGGTAGGTTTGATGAGAACATCAAGCACATCATAAAATGGGAGATTCTTCAATTGAACATCAGGATGCACTGGAGGAACTGAAGGTGATGGCTGCTGCATCTCAAAGTGAGGCTTTGTGTCCTGAAGAAGCACTGAACCAAGAGGAGAAGAAGGTGACTGAGGAGTGACCGAAGTTGAAGGTACTGGATGCAGTCCGGGCACAGCTAAATCAGGTTCTACCGGAGAAGACCCACTGTCCAAGTTGAAAACTGAAGATTTTATAGCAGATAAGTCAGAAAGGCCTTCTATTGTCCTGGGATACCGGCGCCTGTAGAGTTCCCGGATCTTGATCTGAACTGCTGGGCTACAGCCACTCTTCAGCAAGTGCAATGCCCTCATCAGGAGGTCATGTTTGCGCCCACTTTTATTACGTCCAGCAAAACCCAGCAACACTTGCAGTTCAGACACCCGAAAACTTGATACCATATTCTAGAAGAAACAACAGATCAAGAATACATGAAATGAAGGGCAACAACAGATTGAACCGATAGCCCTAGGTTAAAAAGTTAAAATAAATGTTATTTACATCATAACACTATGTCATAACACATATGGGCAACAAAACCCTCATTATTTAGTTTCTTTTGACTCATCCAATTTAGTCATTGAAACACTGATTGTATTACCACTGTGATGTGATTAAAACTCTATTCAAATTGTGTCCCATACGTACATTATCCTTATTCCTCTCAATAAATATAATTTTTCATAGAACAAGCAACACAATCCCCACAATGACAGTAATTCAGTAAAATGTAAGTTCCAATGAAGTGACACATTTTTTATAACAAAGAGTTAAAACTCCAAACACTACTTTTGATTACTATACTGCTTTTGTTTCACATTCAAATATTACATGAAACAATAACTACGTATTTACATTATAGAAAATATAGATCATTATGTGGCAAAATAGTCTTTGTTTAGATGAGACTACAACTGGCAAAATTAACAGGAATGTTAATCTGCAGTCATCCCTTTGAATGTCAGACTAGAGGTTCTTGAGGTGACATTCTATTTGATAAACACAAAAATAAATAAAACAGACCACAATATTACCTCCTTAAATCTTCTCAAGGCTAAATGTACCCACTCTTCTGCCCCTCCAGATGTTGCCAAAGTACAGCTTCCAGCATTCCTTATCACAGACCCTGTTAATCTGGGCTACCAAGGCTTGTAGTTCACCAACACCTGGAGGGCTGCAGGACTACCATCCCAGGCCGAGAATATTCTCCCTATGAGCAGCAAAAGCAAATGAATGATAGAGCTTTGGGGAAGCTGCCCCACAAGTCTGCAATCTCCCTTCCTTGGAGATTCATCAGAATCTCTCCTTAAACACTTCCTGAGAATTGGCATTACAGAGGCATAAAATACTTTTGCCCGCCCCACCAGATCTAGTAGAGAGGGCATGCTCCAGGTCCCTTCTATTAAACAATGTCGTCTTGTTGGACTCCAGAGTCATGCCTTCTCAGTAGTGGCGTCTGCTCTGGGGAATAGGATCCCTGCCTGGAGATTCAGACACCCCCAACCCTGTTACCCTTTCACAAGGCACTGAAGACGTGGCTGTTCCCCCAGGCATTTGGATCAGGGTAGAGATGAGCTCTGCTACTTCACTGTTTATCCTTGGGTGCCAGGGGGTCATATTTGGGGGGGGGTTGTTTGTTTTTCATCTTGTAAGCTGCCCAGAGTCACTTGTGTGAGATGGGTGTTATGTGTTATATAAATGATATAAATGAATAGATCTCCACCTAAAGAAAGATCTCAAGTAAAATTGGAGAGGACAAATCTCTACCTCTCTCCACACTATCAAAATCTGTTTTAGAGAATTAGAGGATCTTTCAGAGCATCCTAATTTCATTCTATATTATGCTGTAAGGTAAAAAATGGTTCTTTACTTTTAAACTCTGGATTAAATTCAGATGATAATGATAATAATCTAACAGTATGTGAGCAGTCAACACCCAACTTCCCAAAGCATTTATTATAAGAGGGATATATTTTGGAGAGGAAAAAATGGAAATATACCAAAACATGTAAGCCATCTATTTATTTTTGAGAAAGAAAATATATACATTTAGGGATAAGTAAGAAAAGGTGGCTATATGGCATTTCTTCCTCCTCTTCCTGGAACTATTTCTGATTTGATTTTGAAAATATGCTAAAAATCAAAAGTAAGATTTCCTTATTTTCCTCTTCTTATCCATGTTATTTCACTACTATGTTTTAAACATGTATTTCTTGCCTTTCATCCTGACAAACTCTGGCTTAAAGAATAGCAAAATATGTTTAAACCTTACACCAATTGCAACAAGTATCCTGAGACGGCTTATATGAATTTGTGTTGTGTCTTACGTTTCTCTGTTGTTCTTCTAATTTAACCAGGCAATTTGGACTGCTCTATGATGTTGAAATTATTTTTATATTTAATGGTTTGTGGGGAAGGGGGACAAGGAGAAGTTTGGCTTGCCTGCAGTAGAATCAAAACTCTTTTTCTTTCTATAATATTCTTTCTATAATATTCTTCTATTTGTCTCATTTTTCCAGCATACTCTTATATGCAATTTTTCTTCAGTCTCAGGTCCACCAATTATCCTTCTTCATACTTCTCATTAGCATCATACATTCCTGTAGCGCTCTTTAACATTCTTTTCATGCTGTTCAAAGCAGCTTCCACATTCTTTCCTTACATCCACTTTCCACTGTTAGGATGGGAGATTAATGTCTTCTAATACATTTTAATATAGAATTTGTACTTTCTATTCCTGCAGTTGTTCAACTTTCATTTCTCTTTTCTTACTTTTTCTCAAGTTCTTATTTCTGTTTTTTCCCCATTATTAATATACAACTCTCACAGATCTGTGTATTCCTACCAGCATCTGCACCTGCAACAACGAGATGACATAATGCAGATTTCTGACATACATTTTAGCTCTTTAATTCATGATAAACCTACACCTTCACTTCTCTGCATGTATTCATCAATTTCACACCACCCTACAGACCACCTTTAGAGAGCTTTATGACACCCTTCCGTTTTTCTTGGTTTCACAGACACTCACCTATTTTCATTTATTTCATTTGCTAATTCATGCTCTATCATTTACTCCTCTTACATTCCCAGTTGCAATCTTCCATATACCACGATTGCCAATCTATCATTATTTTAATGACAGTTAATCAGAAACTAATTTTTTTTTTTAGTAAAATAGAGAACATGTAGAACAGGTTACTTTTCTCACATGGAGCATTCTCAGCTAATGGGAACAATGGTGCTAGTCGGTTTTGACACATCTTGGTCACTTACATTGCGAGTGCAACCACAGCCCAGTTTTATCTCAGACATGCTCATGCTATTCTGTGCAAACTAGGATCTCTAGGCTAAGCCAAAATACTGTTCCCTGTATCTAATTAACATAGAGGTATACAAAGTTTTTTGACACACATCCAAGGTTACCTAGTTTTGTTTTCTCTTCCTAATACCTAACCAATCCATAAAAACAAGGTATCCTAATACAAAGAATATCACAACATAAATCAAAGACTGTATTCTACAGCAACCATTATTCAACAATGAATTATTAAATCACACCAAATTTGATTCCTGCCACTCCCACAGAACCCGGAAAGACTTCCATCTAACAACCAGAACTACAAAACTAACCTAAATGGACCGAAGATTTGTCTCAGAATCATAACAGCTGCTTCCTGCATTGTTAGGATGAAATATCTTGGGTTAAATCTTTTGCATTAAAGGAAATGTAGAGTTCAGGGTCAAGTCAATACAACTACAAGTTCACTTCATCAATGCACACAGATTTGTCACCAATGCAAACCTCTAAGGAAATCTTCAGATAATCACAGAATAGTTTTAGAGATCTATTTATATAGGTACTGGTACAGAATGTGATCAAAGCGATTGGCAAGGTTATCAAAAAATAGGCTCATTCTCAGTTAGGGCTTCTTATTCTGCCATAATCAGTAGAAATGTTTTGAGATTCATTTTCACTTTCATGGCTTACCCAAATGTGGTGTTATTAGCAGCAATAAGATGCAACAGCATATCAAAGCAAGTAGGTATGACAATCCCACAGTATTTTCCACACAACACCTTATATTAGTGGCATCTATAGACCAATGTGCTTAACAATTACAATACAGGATGTATTTGTAGCAACAAAAGTAGAACAAATTTAAGAGGTAATGGATTAAATCAATTCCTCTACATACATACATTCAGACACACTTGAGTTCTAGACAGTCATTAACTTGAAAAATCTAAATTTTAGTTAACTGTGTTGGCCAGACCAGTGAAACTGGTACAGCTATAGAGGTGCAATGAACCTAAAAGAGCTGTAAAATATCACATTGAAAACAGGGTACTATATATTTCATGAAGCAACCTATTTAGCTATGTTGTTTAGATATGAAAGTAGCTCTCTTCAATTAAAGGAAATTTATTTTAAAATAATACAATCCAATCTCTACAGGTAGTCCTCGACTTATGACCATTCATTCAGTGACCATTCAAAGATACAGCAGCACTTAACAAAAGGATTCACAACCCATGCCCAAAATTACAGCTGTTGCAGTATCCCCATGGTCACGTGATCAAAATTACATGTTCATCATTTGTACACAATTCTATTTCAAACTCAGTCTTTCAATGTTCAAAACCATAAATTCTTTTGTCTACTTTAAATCTTCCTAATAATTGTAAATAACAGAACCATTGACACCTATATCCCTCTTCCACCAGTTCTTCTCTTGATTTTATCCCTTGACAAGATTCTAGTATCTCGTGATCAGTTAGCCATTTGTGTTTGCCAATTGTTCCTTGTCTAGAAAATGCTTCTTGGGCTGAGAGCCACAAAGGTGTTTTGGGGCATAACCTGGGTTGGTATCTATTCCATATTCTCAATGTGGCACATCTAACATAATGATTTTTAAAATCCACCTTGACTTTGTCGTACCACAGATGCCCATGCCACCCAAATCTCAGATCATGTCCTTCTAGCTCCCAAAGCCTTCAGTTTCTCAGCAGCACCCACTCTTTCATCCAAACCAAACAGCAAGCTGCAAAATACATTTTCAAATCAGGTAAACCCAATCCTGCTCTTTCCTTTACATCTTGTAGCACCTTATATTTAACCTATGATTTTTTTCCTTGCCACAAATTCAGATATATTCTTCTGCCACTGTTTAAATGGTACATCACTTGTCAAAACAGGTATTGTCTGAAACAAAAACACAATTCTAGGTAAGACATTCATTTTTATCACAGAAATCTTCCCCAACAATGGCAATTGTAATTTCTCCCATCTTAACATATCTTTTTAAACTTCATTCCATTTCTTAATGTAATTATTTTGAAATAACATACAATTCATATTTGTCATAATGATACCCAAGTATTTTACCTTCTTCTTAATCTTAAAACCCATTTTATTCATCAGTTCTGCTTGATCTTCTATTTTCATATTTTTGTTAACATCTTCATCCTCTGCTTATTAATACTGAAACCTGCTAATGCACCAAATTCTTTTAATTTGCCCGTTTATATTTCAATTCCTTTTAAAGGATCTTCCACAACTAACACCAAGTGATCTGCAAGACCCCTTAACTTATAAGTTTCTTTTTTAATTTTTACTCCCACAATCCTCTCATCTTGTCTTATATCTCTATTCAATATTTCCAGAACCAAAATAAACAAGAGAGGAGACAGTGGACATCTCTGTCTCTCACAGGGCTTTGTTAAATCTCCATTAACAATGATTTGTACTTTCTGTGAAGTATAGATCGATCTTATCCATTTTATGAAGTTCTCTCCAAAATGCATATCTTCTAGAACCTTAAACAAGAAAGACTGGTTCAAATTGTCAAAGGCCTTTTCTGTATCTAAGAAGATTGGTGCAACTGAATATTTCTATGCTCTAAAATAAAGCATCAATCTCTAGAACCATCATTTCCTTGGATACCACACAGGCTTCATAAATATTCTTAGGAATTAAAAATTGGCACTGTGCTTTGATTATAAATGTGTACAACTAACAAAAAAAAGGCAAAGGTTAGCTAGGAGTTAATGGTGAGTAACTTGAAAAGTGAAAAGTAAGTGGCAGGAACAGTCTCACCGATTTATTTTTGGGTAAATTAATTTTTCTATGAATAAGCATTCCCCTATGAGCACCCACAACATGCTTTCACACCATTAAATATGCCCCATATGGAAATTATCAACTGAAAAGTATCAGGAGCCTCCCAAATAATTGTTTTTTTAACAGGGATAAGCAAACCCTGGACCACACGCAGTCCCTGGCTGTTTCTTATGATCCTGAGCCCCCAAATCCCAGCAACATTCAGCCCTACAGACAGCCCTGTTTAGCAACCACAATTGGGACTGGCAACTCCATCACATGACCGCGACAAACTTATGACCTCACTTCCCATTTGGTTAAGCGAATCATCACAGTCATTAAGCAAGACATCACGTGACCATGACTTGCAATTGTACTTCCACATTCTCCATTAACTCTGCTTGTTTGAAGCCAGTTGGAAAGCACACAAATAGCGATCATGTGACCACAGGATGCTGCAACGGTTGTAAATGCGAGGATTGATTGTAAAGCTGTCTTTTTTTACACCATCATAACTTTGAACAGTTGCTAAATGAGGCAGTCAACTACCTGTATAGTTTTTCACGGTTTTAAAAAAAGAACCTTAGAAAATTAAGATGTAAAATAGGCATATTACATCTCTAGAAGGCTTAACTCAATTATTCTAAGTGAAACCTGCAGCCCATCAGAAAAAAGGGACAAAAATTTTAGCTATTCCTCTCCAATGATATCACTGATACACACACCACAGTTGCTAAATATCTATTTTTTAAAAGAGCACAAACCCCTGGCTTCAAAAAAACTAGATGATCAGCAACATAAACCTATCTAGAAATTTTTATAAAATATGGGAAATCTATATTAGACCAACAAACAAGTTATTGGACAACTTCTACAATATAATGAGCACACAGCATTTGCTATCACAAATCATTTCATCTGAAGTTTATGAATTGCATCTGTTGAAGTCAATTATGATCTATGAAAGCTTAAGTAATAATAGATCCAGCTTCAAATTGTCACAAATCTCGTTGTTGTTTTACTGAAAAGGTAAGCATTTTACCCCTCTGAAATCAGTTAAGTACAAGTGGTCCTTGCTTAACGACCACTTGTTCAGCAACCATTAGAACTTACCACAGCACTGAACGAGTGGTACTTATGACCAGTCCTTGTACTTACGATAGTTGCAGTGTCCCCGTGGTCACGTAATTGTGATCTAGGCGCTTGGCAAACAGCTTGAAATTACAACATCACAGCATCCTGTGATCATGTGATCGCCATTTGTGACCTTTTTTGCCAGCTTCCTACAAGCAAAGTCAATGGGGAAACCAGCAGGTCACAAATGGTGACCACGTGATGTTGCACTTAACAATGGCAATGTCAGAATGTTGTACTTAACAATGGCAATGTCAGAATTTCCACCGCTAAGCAGCAGAGTCACGATGTCACACTTTACAACCGGAGCGCTTAGCAATGGAAATTCCAGTCCCAATTACCATCGTTAAGTGAGAACTACCTGTATAACAACACATAATTATGGGACTTCTGAACTTTATTCCTCTTGGAGTTCTGGGGATATATTTTGCTATCTTCTTATGAAGTCAGGCCTCAGGTCTACATTGGTTTAATATTATGTGGGCTATGTGTAATCTTTCAATATGAAGAGAAAGCGGTGTTTCCAAGTGGGCAGGGGTACTCATGCAGCACCTGTCAGCAATTCCTTAAAGAAGTTGTATCTTTTCCCAGGATTATATGGCTACTTTTCATAGGCACAGTGCAATCCTGGGAAAAGTATCACTTCATTTGGGTCACTGACGGGTGTTACATGCATACCCGCAATCATTCCAAAGCAATTTTCTCTCCAAAACATTGCATGGTTATAATAGTACTGCAGTAAATGACAAAGGCAATGAGTGGAAATATTTACAGTTTTGCAATTTCAAGTGTTTTGCATTGCAACACAAAATAACCATCTCTTCATTTCATCAGTCAGAGAAATTAGTTATATTATTTTGTCAATCAATGGTGAATATGTCAGATTGCTGCTTAATGTTTGAAGGGATAAAGTTCCAACAATGGAGGGAGAAACCAAATACAGGTAGTCCTCGCTTAATGACAATTGGGACCAGAATTTAGGTCACTAAGCGATGCGATCATTAAACAAATCATCACATGACCAGACCCAATTTTATGACTTTTGCAGTGGCCGTTAAGCAAATCACTGCAGTTGTTAAGCGAATCACACAGTCATTAAGCAAATCAGGCAGTCACTAAGTGAATCGCGTGATTCCCCATTGATTTTGCTTGCCAAAAGCTGGCTGGGAAGGCCTCAAATGTTGATCATGTGACCCCAGGACGCTACAATAAGTGCAAGCTGGTTGCCAAGCACCCAAATCCTGATCACATGACCGTGGGGGTGCTGCGACGGTCATAACTTCAGGCACCGGTTGTAAGTCACCTTTTTAAGCGCCACCATAACATTGAATGGTCACTAAATGGTCATTAAGTGAGGACTATCTGTATGTAAAACATATTTTAAAGAAATCATCTGACAGACTTCTCACAGATATGGCTACTGAATACACATGCAGAGTATTGTTAAACAATAACGTCTCAATTTCCCTTTTTAACATTTCTTAAGCTAACAAACTTCCTAACAATTATGCCACAAATTCTAAAGATTCACCTAATATACTGAAATCAAATTAAATGGAAGATACTGGAGGAAGGGAGCCAGCATTTCAAGAAGACTGTTTCACATCACGGTTGCACTTTTCTTCTCTTTCTCTCTCTGGCCATCAATAAAAAGAATTTGTACTCGTCAAAGGTGTTACTTTAACATGTCAGAATAAAGTCACAGCTAGAAAAAGTCAGACCCTGCACAACTCAGTCAGCTCCGGGGCAGAAAACAAAACCAAATACAATGAGTCTGAAGTCCTGAGTAACACAAGAGGCGGTGGTGTAGTTAAATCTACAACGTGCTGTTACGCTTGGCCAGCTGGAGCGACACGATCCATCCGCATTACCTGCAGCCCGGCGATGCGCATCTAAGCACGATGAATGCAAAAGCAGATTACCTACAAAGGCTCTCAGGCTTCTTCAGGAAAGGGTCTTCGCATCAGGGCTCCCACAGTACGCCCGGCGACTGAGAGCCCGGCCTTGCCCATTTCGAACAATAGACGGGGCTGCCCCCTAAGCACGGGCAGCCGCGGGCGGAGCGCTCCGTCCGGACCTCGCGGAGGGCCCGGCTCAGCGGGGAGAAGAAAGCCGGCGAGGCGGGGCAGGGCAGGGCAGGAGCTTCTTAGGAAAGCGGGGGGGAGAGAGGCAGGCAGGGCGCAGGGAACGCGAACGGGGGGCAGAACCAGGGCACGA